TCAACAAATATTGCTTTTTTCTGCTTTATAGCAATATAACTATATTGACAAATTATTGCTTCGATGACTGGTTCAGCAAATAAAAATATTACTTAGTTTATTGCACCTATTTTTCAGGAAATACATAAAATTCACTTTAGAATAATAAGTGAAAAAATAATTTTTTAAAATAAAATCCAGAAATCGTTATAAATTTATTGTCCAAAGAAAAAAAGAATATTCTGTTTGTTGACATACATGAATACTTTAAAAAATGAGGTGAGATTTTTTAAAGTGTTCATGTATGTCAACAAACAGAATATTCTTTTTTTCTTTGGACAATAAATTTATAACGATTTCTGGATTTTATTTTAAAAAATTATTTTTTCACTTATTATTCTAAAGTGAATTTTATGTATTTCCTGAAAAATAGGTGCAATAAACTAAGTAATATTTTTATTTGCTGAACCAGTCATCGAAGCAATAATTTGTCAATATAGTTATATTGCTATAAAGCAGAAAAAAGCAATATTTGTTGAATTGTCTATTTGGATAGTTTTATTATTGAACGGGTGTTTTTAAATACTGAATATTTTTTACATCTGTTTTAAAAAGGCTAGTAAAATTTAGGATTATAAATAAGCCCTAAAAATAATAATCTGACCATTCACAGAATCCAGGCGCAATAAACTTTGTTATAATATATTGCTCCGTGCACACCAATTTATTTTTATAATTATTTTTAAGATTTTTGGTATAAATTTTGATACGGTAAAAGGGAAAACAATACTCACCAAATATAATATAAATATAATTTTTAGTTGTCAAGATATTTTTTTTTTTTTTTTTTTTTTTTTTTTTTTTTTTTTTTTGAACTCAGTTTTATTTAGCAATCAGAAATACATAAAGATTCCTATGAGCTAAAATGACAAAATTTATGAGTGATGCCTAAGAAGAACTCCAATGAGAACTTCTCAGTTTTACAATTAGTATGATATATTAGACCTAATCTAAGACTAAGTCTAGGGGCCATTGTCGTTTCAACCTCCTAATGCCAAAAGGTTGAGTAACGTCAACTATAGAAGGATTCAAATGTGAGTCCAGTTTGCGCTTATATTTTTCTTTAACTTCTTTAAACGTTAATTGCACCGTTTTCATATTGAGGTCGCTGTGAATGGTCTCATTTGTCACGTACCACGGAGAATTAAGAATTGAACGTAAAATTTTTGACTGAGTTCTCTGCATTATAGCTATATTGGATTTGTAAGCACATCCCCAGAGCTCAATTCCGTAGGTCCAGATTGGTTTAATAATCGATTTATATAGCAGCAACTTATTTTCGACAGAGAGCTTCGACTTTTTACGCAGTAGCCAATCAAATTCTTTTATTTTGATCATTATTTGCTGCTTTTTTGTTTTTATATGGCTTTTCCAAGTAAGTCTGCTATCTAAATGGAGACCAAGATATTTCACTATGTTCTGTTTCGGAATCTGGACGTTATTTAAATAAATTGGAGGACACGTACCCTCTCTCAGGGTAAATGTGATATGAACTGATTTGGTTTCATTTATGCAAATCTTCCATTTAGCAAGCCACATTTCTAGTTCATTGATAAGTTCTTGCGTTTGTCGGGAAGCTTGATCAGCACTGTGATTACTGCTTAGTATGGCAATATCGTCAGCGAATGTAGCAATTGTCAGATTTTCAAGTAATGGGAGGTCCTTTGTGTATAATACATATAAGAAGGGTCCAAAAATACTACCTTGTGGAACACCTGACATTATTTTGTGAAAATCAGATGTTACTTGATTTACTTTCACTTGAAAAATCCTATCTTGTAGATAGGATTTTAAAATCCCATAATACCTGGATGGAAGGTATGTTTTAATTTTATATAAAAGTCCTGGGTGCCAAACTTTATCGAATGCTTGTCGAACATCCAGGAAAACACCACTACAAAATTGCTTATTTTCAAATGACTTGAGTACAGTGTCAATAACCCTGTGAACTTGCTGTGTGGTCGAATGTTCACGTCTAAAGCCAAATTGATGATAGGGGATCCAATCTGAAGGAAGCTCGTTGTTGATTTGGTCCAAAAGGATCCTTTCAAGCAGTTTAGATATTACGGGAAGCAAGGATATTGGTCTATATGAAGATACCTCAGTCAAGTTTTTCCCTTTTTTAGGAATCATTAATATTTGGGCAGTCTTAAATGATTTTGGCCAATACTCTACTCTTAGTATGGCATTAAATATATAAGTTATTAAAACAATCGTTTTCTTAGGAAGTTCTTTCAACGCCCTTGCTGTTATTTTGTCAAAACCAGGCGATTTTCTTGTATTTAACATCTGGATTTGAGAGTTGACTTCTTTGGGTTTGATAGGTTTGAAAGATTGTGAAGACTGTAGAGGTTTAAGCAATTCTTCTTCAATCTCTTTATCAATGGTGGAATCAAATGGTTTAAAAACATTAGACAAGTATTTAGCAAATAGGTGCGCTTTGTCTTCTTCACTTCTTGCCCAAGGATCATTAGCACTGTTTCTAATAGGTGAAGAAAAGAATTTAGGCTTCTTCACATTACTAGCTGCTTTCCATATCGAGTTATCTGATCTGGATAGATTATTAATGTACTTTTCAAAATTTTCATTTCTGACTTGCCTAAGTTTGCTTTTAAGTTCTCTGCAAAGTTTATTGTATGTATTTTTATCGTCAGGTCTATGATTTTGTTGCCATTTAGCTCTAGCACGTCTTTTTTTCCGAATAAGCTCTTTGATTTCCAACGGAATATCTTGGAATGCAGGTGATGCTTGAGTTTTAGGAGTTGCTTCTTGAATTGAAGTCTTAATGTGTTGAAGCAAATCTTCAGTAGCCTTGTCAATTTCAGCGTCGCTTTTGAGACTGATATGTAAATTTGTTCGCTCTTTCAAAACTTCTCGAAATGTTTCCCAATTTGTATATTTGCTATGTAATATATTCGAATTTATTTTTTGTATAACTGTTATTCCTATAGTTAAAACAATTGGAGAGTGATCTGAGGATAAATCGTATGATGGCTTAATATTCATCACGTTCTCATTTATGTTATTCAAAATAAAGAAGTCGAGCAGGTCTGGTATTTTTTGAGGATCACTAGGCCAATATGTCGGGGTTCCAGTGGACAGAAATGAATAATTATTATTATTTAAGGTTCTCAGGAGCTCATTACCCTTGCTTGTGATCAGACGTGATCCCCAAGAAGTGTGCTTGCAGTTAAAATCACCACCTACAAGAAATTTCGCACCCAATTGATGGAAAAACTGTTCAAAATCTGTTTGCTTGATATTATGTCGTGGAGGGCAGTACACTGCTGAGATTGATAATTTGTAAAGATGCATACTGACAAGTATTGTTGTTGCTTGTAGGTGTTCTTTTTGGTACGGAGGAAGTTCGGTGTGAACTATTGTATTTCGAATAAGTATGGCTGATCCTCCATGAGCCGTATCATCCGGGTGATTGCAATAGTGTAGTGTGTAATTCGGAATCTTGCAGAAAGAGAAACTAGTAAAGTGGGTCTCGCTTATTAGCATTATGTCAATGTGATTCAAAGTGAGGAAAGTAGTTAATTCTAGCTTGTGCTGTAGGAGCCCATTGGCATTCCAAAGTGCAATTCTTATAAATTTAGCCATTACGGATTAATTTTATTTAATACAGTTGTTAGCAGGTTTAAAACCACACCATTTTGATGAATTAATTGATTAAACATCTGTTTGAATTCGTGCATGAACTGAGCGAAGCTTGCAGATATGCCTGAAGCAGACTCTGGATTAACGTTGTTATTTAACGCCTGTGCATATGTTCGAGGGTGACCTTGATTAGCGATCTGATTTGGATTTAGATTCGGGTACAGGTTAGTGGTAATAGTTGGATTAACCGTATGTCTGTTGTTGGATTTTTGGTTTATAAACGTTTGTGGTGTATTATGATTCATTTTTGGAAATTTTTGATTATATACCTTCTTATATGCTGGGCATCCACGATAACTAGCTGCATGATCTCCGTCGCAATTTGTACAAAAATTTAATACATTTTCAGGTTTCTTGCAGTCTGATGTAGTATGATTGTTACCACAACGGGAACAAGTAAACGGCTTATTGCAGTAACGTTGAGTGTGACCGAATTGTTGGCATCTTTTGCATTGCACAACGGATTTATTATAGTGTGGCGGTTCTATACGAATTATGTTGTTAAGAATCTTTGTTACGCTGTATATGTCTTTGTTATTTTTTGCGGGTTCAAGATCAAGGTAAAATAAATTTAGTGGCTTTCTAGTTTCTCTGTGTAGTATATTTGTAACGTTTCTTACTTCATGACCTATCCTCACGAACTCATTCTTGATTTCTGCTAAATCTGTGGTATGATGTAAATACCTGATTACAACACGATACGCCCTTTCCTCTTTTAGTTGATAAGTATGATGAATAACATTTGTTGCACGCAAATGTTTAGTTAGTTTTCTGAAAACATCAGAATTCTGACACATTAATTTAGTTACATTATTATTTAAGGAGCGGAAAGTGTATTGTTCGATATCAATAATAGTGTTGATTTCGTCCATCATATCTTTATAATTGTCGACGCCGTAAATAAAAATCGGTGGAGGTCTTTGGTTGGTTGTTGAGAAATCATTATTATTGGTAGTATTGATAATAGTGCTTGGCAACTGATTTATGCTATTTAGCGGTTCGAATCTATTTGACAGAGTTACCGGAGTGCTATTAGTATCATCAGATAATTTACGCTTCTTACTTTGTACAATTTTTTTTGTTGTAACAAGTTGCCACGAATGTCTCGGATTAGTTGTACAAATATTTTCCGTATTGTATGTTTGAACCTTAGTTAATTGTTTGGGCATATTTTGATTTTGACTACATACCAGCTTTGAAGCAGTCACTGCAGGGTCTTGTGAAATGCATTGAATAGCTTGTTCAATATTGGCTACTTGCATTAGATCGACGTCCATATTGGTATTTGATGTTGAAATATGCTTATTAGCAGACGAAAGTTCTGTTTCCTTCAGACGCAATTGTTCATTGACATATTCAGAACATGTTAGTGAATCGTCGTAAAGCACGTTATATGTTTCCGTAATGGAAAATTTGTCCATAGTATCCCCCGCAGGGTGACACTTCTCTAAGTTGTGTAAAGTTAGCACAGTGATTTGTCAAAAATTATTTACACAAAAACACTGATTAATCACACTGAAACTAGGTATAAGATCACTAGACACTCACAGCGCGTGTTTGATTTGCCATAAAATCAATTTTTAATATTTATTATGGTTTAAATCCGCCAAAAAATTACTTTAAATAAACTAGGCGAAAATCAAATGACAGAAACAAAATGTCATGTGTCAAGATATTCGAATAATAAATTTCGATATAGTTTTGTTCTAATTATCAAGATTTGTTATTATTTATCATTATAATAAAATAGTATAAATTTTCTATTTTATATAATTCAACATTTCTAAGAAGATACTACATGTAAACACCGTAAAAATATCAGTATACGGTAATAACATTCTGAAAATTATCGATAGTATTGGCGATAAATATTATTATAATCCCTTTGTTGCTTTTTTGAAGCAGGACTATAAAATTGAAGGTCATTTCAAAACAAGTATGAATCTAAGTGTCCATTCATTTTTTAATTAGTTTAAGATAATAAATAAAGCAAACCAGACTCCACTACGCACTTGTATTAACTATTGTTCTGCACCATTACAAGAAATTTGAGCGGCATTATATTTAATTAATGCATTTTCAATGCTCAGCGGCTTTATTTGAATATTATCTAATCAATAGACTATAAAATGATCGTTATTTTGAGCATATCAACAATCGAGGAAGTAACAAAATAATAAAATACCATTTTTATATGATGTAATTGCATTGTGTAATTTGATTTTAATTATAGATGTTTGCGATGAAATTGATCCGCTTCCCAATGATGATAATCCAAACGAAGAAGAGGAAGATAGGTTGGAAAATGAAAATTCTGGTAGGAAGATGGATTACCTTTCCATAAATGTAGCAACTGTTGCGTCTAGGCCAAATAATGGGTAATGATAATGATATTTTTATTTATATTAAATATAGTATTGATAATGAAATATTTATTATTTAACTCCTTCGCTACGAGAGTGTTTTCAGTAGCACTACAGAACGGATAGACACAATAATATATTTTAAGATTTTTCTTGATAAATTAAAAATTGCGCCTTTGATAAACTAAAAACTACAACAAAAGTTAAACATTTCCAATAGTTTAATGCATAATGATAAATTTTGAAGCAATGTCCGAAACGCTAAATGTCGTCTATAGACGACATCTGTACACACATCATGCCAAGCGGATGTCGTCCATGGACGACATTAGTATGCACAAGTAGTCAAATGAATGTTGTCATTAGATTATACATGATCCATTGTTATGCAGTATTAATGCAACCAGATATACAAGTGACTTCCTTTAAGAAAATCATTAATGTTGTTTTGCCTGATATTTAAATACACTCAAAATTACCTATTATTTTTGAGTAAAGAGCACAATTTCTAAAAACATAAGTATTACTTGAAATTAAATTTTAAAGTTTATGCTGTGACTAACATATTTTCAAATATTTAGGCAAAAAGCACAATTTTCTGCACCCGCAAATAGAGATGCTTCTACTGTTGAAGGAGATTTGGATCAAGACACAGATGAAGTTACTGGTCACAGAAAGGTAAGATATTAATTTCAATTGATGATTTAATGATATTGAATTTCAATTGATGATTTGATGAAATTAAAAAAAAAATTCAAATTTATAATTTGAAGCAGGTTACTCCACCATAGTTTTTCAAGCCCTTAAAAAGTTTTGCTTAAATATTTTAGATAAAAATTTCAGATTTTTAATATTATTTTATTTCTTTAGCTGAAACCTTGGATAAAATCTTTAAAAATAGGCCTATTACTGGGATGTTGGTTATTGTTCACCGCAATACTGATGACGAAAAATGAAAGAGTTGAAACTCTTAAGCAAATATCAATTCCAGTAGGAAAAGTTCGCAGTGAGTATTGATCGGTTGCAACCTTGTGCAAACAATATTATTTAATTTTTACATTATTTAATTCTTCAAATCTTTTGTTACAGGTTTCATTTTGCCAGAGAGATTGAATGGTGCCAGATTACAAATAGAACTATCAGGAGCATTTTTACCTGAGCATTATGGAAATTTGTCGATTAATTATATTGAACTATGGTTGGAAATTTTGGAGGTTTCTCAAAGTGTGGATCCTGCAAATGCATCTCACTTGAAAAAGCACGAAGTTCTATACATACATGTAATACATGTTAAAATATAATATAATACCTTCAACTTCATATAATATTAAGAATCATTCTTATAGTCAATATTTAAAAGAATCATGTTATTTAACATGATGTAAACTGTTATTAATTTGGTTAAACTTCTGAACAATATTTTATGTTTTTAACTGCACGGCACTATTAATAAGATGACCATATTTTTTTGAAGTCAAAATCGGGACGGTAATTTTTAGTTATGCTAATTCAGGACGGGAGGGGGGGAGGTGTAGTGAGCTTTAAAATACTGAATCCATTTTAAAAAAATAAATTTTTACATGAATCAATTTTTTTAAAATCAGAATTGCAGACTTTTAGTAAGAACTTTATTATTCTATTAAATGTAATACTTTTTTATCATTTTCTTATTTTATATTTTTCTATCTATACATTTTTTTTGCTTATGAGCTTTGTATAAAATTATATTCAATTTTCTTCATGGTTAATTTGAAAAAATTAGCACTTGTTTGTTTTCACAATTTTTGTTCATTTACCTACAATTTTCAAAAATGCGGGACAAAAGATTGAAATCCGAGACAAATTTTACTATTTAACTACTAAATATCTCAAGGTGGAAATCCGGGACGTATGGTCACCTTACTATTAAGTACATTTAAATTTCCCAGTTTAATTATCTTTACGAGATTAAGATTACGAGAAATATTTTTTATCATTGGCATTAACACGTTAATCGCCATGTCAGTCACATGCCTGAGGCTATGGAGTGCTACATTAGGCATAGGCAATTTTGTAGTATCAGAAATAATATTTTAATATATGTCAGCCATATATGTGCCGCATAAAATTGTTTTTCCAAAATTTTGGCCAAAACAAATTTTTTATTGAATACTTTTATTGAATATTAACGATCGTTTTATTGAATATTAATGATTATTTCAGAAAAAAATATACATGCCTCATTATAACTTAATTAGATAATTTAGTTAAAATTGTATCAAAAAAACTCAATGTATTCAATAAAAATTTGTTTTGGCCAAAATTTTGGAAAAGCAATTTTATGCAGCACATTAATGGCTGAAATATATTGAAATATTATTTCTGATACTACAAAATTGCCTATGCCTAATATAGAACGCTATAGCTTCACCCAAATATGACTAACATATAATTTATCTGAAAAAATGTCGAATTGATCTGGAAAATGTCGTTATTTGAGTTGTTCTTCCACGTATACATGGGAAGTGCTTGGAAAATATAAATAGAACAAACCGAATTTATTTGTATAAATATTATTTTTATAATTATCAATATTATATTTTGCAAATATTGATTGATGACAAGCAACATACATTACAATGTATAGTTTGCTGGAAGTCAGCAAGTGCAAATATTTAATTAAACCCCGGAAAATTACTTGACGTAATAACGTCATTTATAGAACATCGTTTCATTAACATTCAAATATTAGTTTAACTTTCTTATTAACATAACTAGTTTAGGCTAATAAGCTATACATTAAACTAGCAATTTCTATTTATAATTTAATATTTATGCATCAGTTGATTACATGTAAATTGTTTGTTTGTAGAACATTTCCGATGCGTCTTTCTGGCGCCTGCCAATAGTCTCCGAAGATCTGTTCGATATTGTGCCAGAACTTACCAGAAGGCGCGTCTTCACTTTGGGAAGTTACCCGTCCAGGAAGATCCCAGACAGCGTCGCCCGTGTTCGAATGCGCACCAATGCCGAGGCCAATTTTCCTCTCAGCATCGGATACGATGTCAGCCCCATCGACATGGATGATGGAGTTATTTACGCCGCTGTTGTTCTTTTGGGGCTATATATTTTGATTGTGTTTGAGGTAATATTTTGTTGTTAATTTGAAAGTGGCATTGTGCCTTAAAGCAAGTTGCATGAACTTCCCGAAATGTCTAATAATTGACTTAATTCACCGAAATTAGGATTTTGGATATTGAGATAAAATTTTCACCAATTTATTTCGAAAATAGTTTTTGCTTTCGCTTTGTAAACCATTTTTGCCATTTTAAATTTGTATTTTTCCAACACATTTAAATTATTTGTAATTATACTAAATATAGTGCACAGACTAGTGTACTTTCATATCCAAAAATTGTAGCTTGTCATTCCAAATTTTAACTAATTTATATAATTCAACCCATTTTTGAGGAACTGTTTTAGTGCATTAACTTTACGCTACTAATTTTTTCAAACTTCGATGATTTTTTTAAAGTAAACGGCTAGTCGCAGGGTCATTTTAGAATGTTCTTTAGATTCATGATATCCATCGTCAAAAAAAAATTAATAAAATCGTCAAAAAAAACTCAACAATTAATTACAAGAACACGTGCCAGCGGATCTTTACCAAAAACTAATCAGTTCGATTACCAACCAATACTTTTTAGTTTTTGAATTTTTAAAATCGATTCAGAATTGCGGATGAATACTTAGATGAAATTTTGTTTCACTTTTCTGCTATTAACAATGAAACGGCTTGACTGTTTGTAGCGCAAAACTGACAAAAGCTAGTCCTTATCCAGTTACAGCGAATGGCTTTTAAATTTTTGTACTCAGGTCAGCCTTTTTTGAGAAAACGCACCAACAAAATGGCAAAAATCAGCTCACATACACATACACATACTTCATTCAAATTTCATCTCTTGCGATTCAGAATGGCTTGAAATGTCGAAAAAATTTACAAATCGTTTTTTTTATGAAAACATTTTCTCCTTCGGAAAGTTGGTCTTCATATAAACTTATTACGGACAAATTTGGTGATTTTTAAATTTTTTATTCAGAAATTAATTAATTAAAAAATTAAATAAAATAATATCAACCCTTTCGCTGCTAGCGTCGTCCATAGACGACATGCTTCCGTGTGTATGAATGTCGCCTATAGACTTCATCTAGTATCACAATTTGGGTTAACTCATTCTCATTTGAATAATTGAAATATATTATTTGTTATTGTGGTTTTAAGTTTTTTTAAGCGTAAATAAATCATATAAATTTTTAAATACATTTTTCTATCGTTAATGAATGGAAAATCTGAGAATATTTTTGTGTGAGAAAATTTACTTGGGCGATTTACTGGCTCGTAAAGCAGCATCACTCTTGCGGAAAACCCTCTCACGGCGAAAGGGTTAATAATTTAAATATCTACATGATATTGATCAAATAATTCAAATTTTATAATTAATAATTCCATCAAAATTAGTTTCTGCTTTTAAAATCTATAACTCGCCTGACTAACAAATTTTATCCACACGTAAATGTATAGTTTCATGTTCAATATTCAGGAGAACTTCTATACTATATTTATTGGATAAGTAACACTTCGATTTTGATGAATTTGAAAATAGTTAGTTTTTTTGTAAAGCTTATCTTGTTATGCTGATCATAATTCTTTCTTTTGCGTCTTTTCAATTAGTATTGCAAATTTATTACTGTAGCAATTTTACGATGTTATAAAACCCACATATGACCTCTTATACATTACTTTATATTGTAATTCTGTCTGGCTGAAATTGCAATAAAATAGATTTATTAGTAAAATGCTAAACATGGTTGTCACGTATTTTTTAACTGTTGATGATTTCATTTATCATAAACTTTAATGTTTGGATATCCCTCGTTTAACTTCCATAAACATAATTTGAAATGATTTATTTAGTTATATAAACAAATAGCTAAAATAATCATTTTGATTATTTTTCTGTATCTAGTTGAATCTCAATTAATTTAGTTTAATCGTAGCTAAATAAATGCTGGTTTATTGACGTGTTTAGCTTTTTAATTAGAAAATCACTCACTAAAGTTTTTTTTTTCTCTTAAAATAGTAGCTTTATTTAAATTTAATCATGACATGAGCTTATAAAATTAAATCATTTTTGTTTGCTATTCATTAATTAAAAAAAAACATTGAATCGAACCATTATCGCAATTCATAAAAAGGCTCCTCGATTGCATTATTTAAAATTTCTTTGAACGCAGTGAAATGTTTGGTAAATCGACAACCAATTAAAACCAAACTAACAACAACAGCCTTACCAATCATTTATAAAATTATTTAAATTAAATACTAGTTGGAAAGATATTCTTTTTATTCAATATAGAACTATGTTGAACTCTACACTTATCTACATTGAATCGCTACTTTTTTCTATCAAGTGGATAATAATGTATTATTTATTTATGCTAATTCTAAATTTTCTATTATTCTCAGATTGTTCATCGTACATTTGCTGCAATTTTGGCATCAACAATGAGCGTTGCTATTTTAGCAGCATTGAATGAAAGGCCAACAATGTCGGAGTTGATTTCTTGGATTGATGTAGAAACCCTTCTTTTGCTTTTCTCAATGATGGTTTTGGTCGCAATCTTCTCAGAAACCGGTATTTTTGACTTTTTGGCAGTTTACGCATACAAGGTAAAATATTCGATCGATATTGTTCTGATAATTTGAAAAGAATTATGGTTGATAAAATAATAAATTGCAGATCACATCTGGAAGAATATGGCCATTGATTAACTGTTTATGTCTCTTCACGGCGATAATGAGTTCTTTCTTGGATAATGTCACACCGTCCTGCTTATGACACCAGTTACAATAAGGTGAATAAGGATAATTGAAATACTTTTATGCAGTATCATTACCTAGATTCTAGGTAATGATACGAGAATAACACTTAGTTACAAATTTATCACATTGTTTAAATCAATAAAAAATTACAATGTTTCATAAATGCTAATATGTGTATTAGATGTTTGTTTTGTGATATATATGTATGAATGTGCCATTCTACGAATAGAATAAAAATTATATTTATCACCACAGGTTATGTGAAGTCATGGAACTAAATCCGGTACCCATCTTGATGTCCATGATAATTTACTCAAA